GGGGGAGGGGGGATGGGGAGGGAGGAGAGGGGGAGGGGAGCGAACTGGGACCACAGGTCAACAATTTTCCCTTCCATTTCCATCGATCTTCACTGTTCACTTTCATCAGATTTGGCGGGGAGATAACTCCGCCAGAACTCCGAATGGAGACTTTGTGTTCCCGGAGTGATCCCCCTTCTTCCCTCATAATCAATGGCCGCCGTCTTAAGGGATCGGATTGGTCAGGGCATGTGTGTTTTTTCACTTGGTGCGAATTCTGGTTACTGGTTCTGTGGGCTGGCTTGAGTGGGGGAAGGAACGGGGATGAGGTAGAAAGGAGAGGGAGGAAGAACGGAAAGAAGGAAGAGAGGAAAGGAGGGAGAGAGGAAAGGAGGGAGAGAGGAAAGGAGGAAGAGAGGAAAGAAGGAAGAGAGGAAAGGAGGGAGAGAGGAAAGGAGGAAGAGAGGAAAGGAGAAAGAGAGGAAAGGAGGGAGAGAGGATAGGAGGCAGAAAGGAAAGAAGGAAGAGAGGAAAGGACGGAGAGAGGACAGGAGGAAGACAGGAAAGAAGGAAGAGAGGAAAGGAAGGAGAGAAGACAGGAGGAAGACAGGAAAGACCTGAGAAAGGGAAGAAAGATGACAGGAAAGACGTGAGAAAGGGAAGAAGGGTGACAGGAACGGAGGGAGAGAGGAAAGAGGGAAGATAAGGAAGAAGGAAGAGAGGGAAGAAGGAAGAAAAGAAACAAGGAAAACGGAACAAACGAAAAAAGAAGGAAACCGGAAAAACGAAAGGAAAAAAAAGAAGTAAGGAAAGAAAGATGGAAGAGAAAATATGAATGGAATGAGGAATGAAGAATGAAACCAAGGAAGAAGAGAAGAATTGTAGGGACAAAGAAAGGAACGATTAAAGCAAGAAAACAATGAAAGAAGAGAGCACAGACAGAATGAAGGTAAGAAAGAAGGATGGTAGAAAAGAAGGAATAAAGTTTTTAAAAAATAATAAAAGGATTGAGGGGAAGAAAATAGGAAGGAACAATAGATAGTTTTAGTTTTAGTAAGTGTTTTACGGCACTCGCAACACAATAACGTCATTATTATAATTGGCAAAGATTTGAGGTGTTACAAGAGAGTAACACAAACAAAAAAGAAGGAGGGGAGATAAAGACGATAGATGTTTGATAGGAAAGAAGAAGCAATAAACCACACTAGAGCACCCACCAACCACCCACGAGGAAAAGATAGATGGAAGGGGGGGGGATCCGATGAATAAGAGAATCGCAAAGAGAAACACATTATGCACAAATTATGGGTCTATCGATTACCCTCTTAAACTTACCTCAAACTTATGCGTCTCGGGGTTCATATCCAGGAGAGAGTAATCGGCGTTTCGATCCCCGTTTTCATCGATACTCACTGTACCCGTGATACCTGGGAAAAGTATTGATACCATGGCGTCAGTGAAACATATAGTGCTTAATTTTATTATTTTTTAAAAATCTATTTAATTTTTAGTAAAATCAGTCTGAGTTTTTCGTTTTAGTACGAGTTTTACGTCACTTGTTATTGTTGATGTTGATGATGTTGTTGTTGTTGTTATTGTTATTGTTGTTGTTGATGATGATGCTGTTGTTGTTGCATCATCCTCCCATCGTAATCACCCTGAAAAGTCCTGTTCCACATACGTTTGTGGATCTCATGGCCACCAGTGACACTACTACTCCCCCCCCCCCTCTCTCTCTCCTCTCTCTATATTTGAATCTCATCCAATATCATTTATTTATCCCATCTTCTCCCCTCTCCTTCCCTCTTCTCCCCTCTTGTATCCCCCTCTATTTGCCTCGAATGCACTTCCTCTCCAAACGTACTCACCCTGGAAAGTCCTGTTCCACATCCGTTTGGTGATCTCGTGGCCATCGGTGACACTGCCCCCTGCCTCTATCGTCTCGTTCAGAGCTAGGGCGTACAGGATCACAGCATCGTGGAAGGCTCCCACAAAACTGTTCACCTGGGGAGGGTAAAATATA